GTTTCAACTTCTTCAACATCGTTGCACACGCTGGATTCCGATTCTAAATGCAAAGAATTTCGACACAAACAACGTTGACCTAGCACTGGGCCCGCCTCGGGCACGGCGACGCAGCTGCAGAGTGATTGGGGGAGGTGTTGACGACGCGTCAGGAAATGTGAGTGTGAAGGGGGAGACAACGCAGCAAGCGGGGAGACAACGCAGCAGGCAGGGAGAACAACGCAGCAGTGCAAGGGAGGACTATAGGCGACGGAGGCGGGGGAGACGTAGCGACGGAGCGGGGAGACGTAGCGACGGAGCGGGGAGACGTAGCGACGAGGAGCGGGGGAGGTAAGACTATGCGGCAGGCAAGGATGTGTCGCTACGCGGTGAAGCGAAGCGACGCGGCGGGGGAGGTAAGACTACGCAGCAGCGCGCGCGGGGGAGGTAAGTACGCAGATCCAGCGGCGGCACCGCGGGGAGGTAAGACTACGCGGCGGAGAGAAGGACCTGTTCACGCACCTTCTCGGTGAGGCCGATGTTCGGGTCCATCTTGATGGCCTCCCAGTTGCCCATGCCTGTGCTCGTAGAGACCCGATCAGCAGCTACTATCCTCCTCGACGTCCCAGAGCGATGTCGTAGTGCGCCAGCTTACACCGGGGCGTGATGCGGAACCTGCCACGAGAGAGAGAGAGATCTCGTTAACCGAGAGAGATGGGAGAGAGGAGCAGGCTGGGGACCGCAGCTTCATCAACCTGTTGCTGCCACTGGCGCCACCTGCTGACGCGATCGAGAAATTTTGCAACCCGTCAGAAATACAGCCTGTCGGATATGTCGTGATTTTGGAATGATGAGTATTTGGAAAGAGACTTCTATGCTTTTGTAGCTCAACTGCTTGCCTGTGCTGTTGCTGTTGCTGTTGCTACGTACTACTGACTTTTGCTTGCTGTTGCTAGTGGTGGCGAGTGAGGTGTGTGTGCGGCACTTGCTGTGATGTACTGTTGCTTGATACTTTTTGATGTTATGGATTGCCTGCCTTTTGCGGCTGCTGCACTGCTGTTGATGTTACTGATGACCTACTGATCTACTGCCTGCTGCTGTTGCTGCTGCTGCAGCTGTTGATGTTACTGATGCTACTGATGCTACTGCTGCTGCTGCAGCTGTTGATGTTACTGATACTGCTGGTGGTGGTGGTGGTGGTGCTGCTGCTAATGCTACCGCTACCGCTACCGCTACCGCTACCGCTACCGCTACCGCTACCGCTACCGCTACCGCTACCACTACTTACTTGGCACGCTCTGCGGGGTCGGTGGGGATGAAGTGAGGGAGGGGTTCCAGCTCCTCCTCTGCTTTCTTCACGGACAGCGCGTTCACCATCACCCCGCTCAGCTTGAAGAACACGCCCCGCGGCTTACGCTTGTGCACCGCCGCCGCGGGCGTGGCGCCATCTGCAGCAGACAAACAACAGAACGCTTTAGTCGCCGAATGCGTCTTGCTGAGGTCTTGCGAGGCGAGGTCGGGACGAACAGAGCATTGCGGCGACGGCTGATGCACGCTTATTAATTATTATTAAACAAAATAATGCTCTCTCCTTCTTCTCTTCTTCCTCTTACCCTTCCTCTACCATCTCTCTCCTCCTCCCCTTTCTCTAGCATCTCTCCCTCCTTCACCTCCTCCCCTTCTTCTACCATCTTTTCCTCCTCCCCCTGCTCAACCATCTCTTCTACTGCCTCTACCTTCTCCTCCTCCTCCTCCTCCTCCAGGCTCACCCTCTTCATGTGCATTGCTCAGACTCTCCACCTCCTCCATCTCTTCCTCCTCCTCCTTCCCCTTCTGTACCTCCTCCCTCTCCCCCTCCTCCTCCACGCTCACCCTCTGCCTGTGCGTTGTTCAGAATCTCTTCCTCCTCCTCCCCTTCCTCCTACTCTTTCCTCATCTACCTTCTCCTCTACCTTCTCCCCCTCCTCCTCCTCCTCCACGCTCACCCTCTGCCTGTGCGTTGTTTAGAATCTCCTCCTCCTTCCTCCTCCTCCTCCACCTTCTCCCCCTCCTCCTCCTCCTCCACGCTCACCCTCTGCCTGTGCGTTGTTTAGAATCTCCTCCTCCTTCTTGGCCTTGTCCTCCTCCAGTGCCTTCACGCACCCCTCTGCCAGCACTTCCCCGAGTCGGCGCAGGTCCGCCTGAGATTTCTCCTGCAGCTCAGCGTCGCAAGCTATGTTCTCCAACCTACAGCGGCAGGACAGAGCAACAGTCAAAATGTATACATATGTCTATCTATATATATATATCTAATGTCAATGGTAATGTTATGTGTATCTATGAATAAGTTTGTTTTGTATTGTATACTGGAAATGTCAAATGCAATGTTATGTCTACAATTGTAACTGTTTTTATGGTAATAAAATTTTTTTTTTTTAAATGTATACATATTATATACATGTGCGTGCGTGCGTTTGTGTGTGCGCATGCATGTCTTTTGCTTCTTTCGACTCCCGAACCACCCTCCCTCTGTAGTAGTAAGTAGCTTGCCCATAAACCAGGAAAACGCGTCCATAAAAATCCCCCCCCCCCAAGCACAGGGGCCAGAAACCAGACAAAAGTGCATCTGCAGAACAAGCGTGCGCGTACCTAGTCAGCAGGCGACTTGTAGCTTTTCACTCAACTTCACACCACACCACACCACACCACACCACATTACACCACACCACATTACACCACAGCACAGCACACCACACCACACCACACCGCACCGCACCGCGCCACCCCACACCACACCACACCACACTACACCACACCACAGCACAGCACGCCACACCACACTACACCACACCACACCACACCGCGCCACCCCACACCACACCACACCACACCGCACCGCACCACACCGCCTGAAAATGCGTCCGCAGAACAAGCGAACAGCATCCACGCACCTCGTCAGCGGGCGAGCGAATCGCTTGTAGCTCTTCACGAAGCGGCGAATCTCCGCGTCGGTGAAGCCCCGCACGTTGCTCGCGCGCGGACGCCCGCGCCGCCGCGGCCGCTCCTCCTCGTCGTCGTCGCTGTCGTCAGTCTCCCCGCCGCCGCTGCCGCCTCCTCCTCCTCCTCTGTCCTTCTTCCTGCGAGCCTCCCTCTCGCTGTCGCTGCCGCCGAGCTGCATCTGCGGGGAGGAGGACGAGGTTGCCGCGGTAACGAGGAGTCGCGGAGGTGACCGCAGGATTGGCACCGCGAAAAAATGTGCGATTGCTCGCGCAGCGTTGTGGGTTGTGGAGTGGGTTCGAATTTAAATGTAAAACCGTTATGATAAAACATGAATAAACGATGATGACGATGATTTGCTGAAGAACCATTAGGAACATATGCAGCTATATATGACTATTATTAATATATATATATATATATAGTATGATATCAGTTTGATTTAAATATGAAACCCTTAAAAACAGTGTAAAATAAATATGAATAAATGACAATAATACCAATTGGTTGAAATATCGTCAACGAATGATCGCGCGGGCCATCGAGCGAACGAACAACGCAAGAACAACGACGGCGAGGAGGAACGTACCAGCTGGACGGTCTTGCGGCTGCGCGGAGGGAGGAACATCTCCTTCAGCTCCTTCTCTTTGGCTTCCTTCTCGAACTTTGTTCGCATGGCTTCGGGGATGATTGTCTCCCACGCCTTGCCCTGCTCCACGACCTCCACCTCCTCCTCGTTATAGTCGAAGCTCGCCAGCTGTGCAGGTAAAGAGTTAAGTAAGAGTTAGTAAGTAGTTAAGTAGTAGTAGGGGTTAGTGACGTGCTATACTAGTGTGGAGCTCCTCGGAGGACGACGACGAAAAACGATTATTTCTCTCACATTTTCCTGTCTCATCCCCGCTTCCTCCTTCCTTCTTCCCCTTCTTTCTCCTTCCTCTCTTCTGGTTCCTATTGCGTCTCCCCTCCCATACCTTCTCTCTCCCTCTCCCCTCCCTCTCTCACCTTGAACTGGGATAGCAGCTCCTCAGACGAGGAGGATGACATCCTGGATTGTTCCTCTCGCGTCTCCCTCCCTCCTCTTCTCTCCCCTCCCTCCCTCTCCTCCTTCCTCTCTCACCTTGAACTGGGATAGCAGCTCCTCGGACGCGGACGACATCCCGGATTGTTCCTCCCGCGTCTCCCTCCCTCTCCCCTCCCTCCCTCTCCTCCTTCCTCTCTCACCTTGAACTGGGATAGCAGCTCTCGGCGCGGCACGACATCGGCCCGCCGGATTGTTCCTCACCTCTCCCCTACCCTCCTCTTCTCTCCCTTCCCCCTCCTTCCTCTCTCTACCTTGAACTGTGGATACGCAAGCTCCTCGCAACCCAAGACAGACATCATCGGATTGTTCCTCTCCGGCGTCTCGCCATCCCTCTCGCCCTAACTCCTCTTCTCTTCCCCTCTCTCCTCTGCTCTTTTCAACCTTCGATCCTGGGATAGCCGCTCCTCCGGCACGCCGGACGACCATCCCGGATTATTCTTCCAGCCGCGGCTCCCTCCCTCTCCCTAACCCTCCTCTTCTCTCGCCCTCCTCCCTCCTCCTCCTTCCTCTTCACCTTGAACGTGGGATAACATTGCAGCTCCCTCGATGCGGCCGACATCCCGGATTGTTTCCCTCCCCGTGTCATCCCTCCCTCTCCCGCTGCCTCCCTCCCCTCCTTCCATCTCTCACCGCCGCTGACTGAGATAGCAGCTCCTCGAGCGAGGACGACATCCGGATTGTTCTCTCTCCTTCCCTCGCCTCCCTCTCCTCCTTCGCTCTCTCCCACCTTGAACTGGGATAGCAGCTCCTCTGGACGCCGGACCAGACATACACCCGAATTAGTTCCCCTGGGCCCCCGCCCGCCCGTCGGGCGGTGCGTCGGCGGCGGGCGGCGTAGGATCTCATCGATTCGCGACTGGCACTGGTGTTCGCTGGCCGTATGTGCGCTCCGTCGTGTGTGCGCTCGCTCTGCCTGTATACTAGGTCGTCGCGGGTGGCTGGCCGCGCCGCGCAGGACTGGAGGATGCGTTGGGACAGTTCGGGCCCCTTGTTGGAGACGGGGTTCGGCGTCGAGGCTGCACTGCAGGAACGAACCAAGCGCCAGAACCGATGCAGCTGGAAACAACAATGTAGGAACAACGTACGCGGAATATGTAGGATGAGGTTGACTGTGCAGAGTACCCTACTATAGTATACTACTGATAACAATACGGTACCTCACCCCGCTACCTGCTGGCATGGTGGGTGTGACCTCTATACTATTAACACTTAGGGCTGTAACGATCCACCGAAATCAAATCGGATTGCGAATCTCTTCCCTCGATCCGATCCTCGATATTTTTCCCCGTATTTTCGATTCCACTTCGATACCACTTTTTTCCTTCAATAGATGGCGGCACTACGCTATATACTGTAGAGTGTTACTCACCAATGTTACTCAGCGACTGTGCAGTGTATATATACACTCTAGACTCTCTAGTCTATTCACCATTTAGTATTCATTGGCAATTTCTAATAATTTATTATTGCAAAATAATGAAAATATAAAAAATAAGATAACATTTCAATATTTTGGGAATAGAATCGAAGGAATCGAATCGAGAGGCTAATATCGAGAACCGGATCGAATCGAGAGGCTTGTGTATCGTTACAGCCCTACTAACACTACACTACCACACCACACTATCTGGGCTACCTGCGCGTAGCAGCAGCAGCTCTTACCTGCGAGGGTTTCCGTCCTTGGCGAGCACGGTGCGACCGGACGTGTCCATGCGCTGAATGACGAGGTGATCGAGAACCATCTTACGCTTCGCTCGCTCGATGATGTCCTCCTCCACTGTCGCCTTCGTTACCAGCCGGTAAATCATCACCTAACGAGCGATGGAGGGAGAGAGAGACGTGAGTTAGAGAGAGAGAGGTGAGTTAGAGAAAGGAGGGTTAAGAAAACTAACCCTCTAACACCAACCTGGTTCTTCTGACCGATGCGGTACGCGCGCACCTGCGCCTGAAGGTCGTTCTACACACAAACACTCCTCCTCATCCCCCTCCTCCCCTGCCTCCACCCTCCCTCCCTCTAACACTAACCTGGTTCTTCTGACCGATGCGGTGGGCGCGCGCCTGCGCCTGAAGGTCGTTCTGCGGGTTCCAGTCGGAGTCGAAGATGATGACGGTGTCGGCGGTGGCTAGGTTCACGCCGAGGCCGCCCGCCCGCGTCGACAGCAGGAAGCAGAAGTCCGTCGATCCCTCCGCGTTGAAGTGGTCGAGCGCTTGCTTACGCAGCTCCCCTCGTATCGAGCCGTCCAGCCGCTGAAACACGCACGAGAGAGCGGTGAAGGGGGAGTGGGAGTTAAGACACGTGTAAGAGAGAGGGGGAGGGGGAGTTAAGACACGTGTAAGAGAGAGGGGGAGGGGGAGTTAAGACACGTGTAAGAGAGAGGGGGAGGGGGAGTTAAGACACGTGTAAGAGAGAGGGGGAGGGGGAGTTAAGACACGTGTAAGAGAGAGGGGGAGGGGGAGTTAAGACACGTGTAAGAGAGAGGGGGAGGGGGAGTTAAGACACGTGTAAGAGAGAGGGGGAGGGGGAGTTAAGACACGTGTAAGAGAGAGGGGGAGGGGGAGTTAAGACACGTGTAAGAGAGAGGGGGAGGGGGAGTTAAGACACGTGTAAGAGAGAGGGGGAGGGGGAAGTTAAGACACGTGTAAGAGAGAGGGGGAGTAAAGACACATGTGAGAGAGAGGGGGAGTAAAGACACATGTGAGAGAGAGATGGGGAGTGTGAGAGAGAGGGGGAGTGGGAGTTAAGACACGTGCAAGAGAGAGGGTGAGTAAAGACACATGTGAGAGAGAGAGATGGGGAGTGTGAGAGAGAGGGGGAGTGGGAGTTAAGACGTTGAAGTGGTCGAGCCATCCAGACGCTGAAACAATGATGGAATAGCGGTGCACGTGAGAGAGAGAAGGGAGTGTAGATGTTTAATGGAATAGCATTGCACGTGTGAGAGCAGGGAGTGAAGACTTGTGATGGAACACAGGTGCTCATCCCACCTGCCCCCAACTCTTTCACCTCTCACTATCCTCCACCTGTTTTACCTCACTGCACCCCCCTCACTTATTCCCCTCTCCTTCTCCTCCCCCACCTCCTCCTCTTCCTTTTCCTCCCCCTCTTCTACCTCCTCCTCCTCCTCCACCCACCTCCTCCCCGCGAACTCACCTGGAAGGAGAATCGGCGCAGGGTGAGGTAATCGGCGACTATGTCGAGCATGCGCACCATCTGGGAGAAGATGAGAACGCGGTGGCCCGTGTCGCGCAGGCGCGTCAGCAGCTTGTCCAGCAGGATCAGCTTCCCGCTGCCCTTAATCATGTTCTGTGGAGAAGAGAAGAGAGAGAGATGACGTTACCGCGGCGACGGGGCTTCGTTGCGGCAAGCTACGACAACTCAGGCTTGCCGCGCCCCCTGGCTGCAGACACTCGCCGCCATACGCATGTGCGGCGCCACCTAGCTGCAGCCGCTCGCTACTAAATGCACATGTGGCGCCCCCCAACATGAAGGTGTTCGTTCTGCGCGGCGCCCCCTACCTGCAGGCGTGCGTTATGCATTGCGGGCGTCGTCTCGGACAGCCGCACGAGTGGTTGCAGCGCTGCGCTCCTACGCGCGCGCACATGGCGCCCCCTAACCGCGTGCGTTACGCACGGCGCCCCCTACCTGCAGGTGTTCGTTCTGCGTAGCGGGCGTCGTCTCGGACGGCCGCACCAGGTACGAGTGGTTGCAGCATTTCTTCAGCTCCATGATGAGATTGACGAAGCTGGCGACGCCGCGCAGGCCCTTGCTCAGCTCCTTGTAGTTCTTCGTGAGAATCCACTTGTAATACTGCTTCTGTATGGACGACATCTCGATGCGCAGGATCTGCTCAACCTGTCGTTGAACCAGACGCCACCGTCAGTTAGTCAGTTATAGTGTGGCAGACGTCGTGAGTCAGTCGGTCGGTCGTAGAGGGTGACGCTGTCAGTCACAGGGTTCTCCCCAGGATAAAATTGAAACAGGGGGGAGGGGAAGGGGGAGGGGGGAAGGGAGGCGGGGAGGGGAGGGGGGAGGGGAAACTAGGGGGGCCCTGGTCGAATGGGAATTCTTGACGATCGATTCCTGCGCTGTCAAACTTTTATTGTGGTGGAATTTAATCGGGGCGCAACGATTGAAACGTGGGGGTAGTTTTCCCAAACGGGGCGGGCGCGCCCGGTTTGCGCAATGTAGGGAGAACCCCGAGTCAGTCTGTCGGTCGGTTGTACGGGGATAGCCCACGCTGATACGAGGTCAGGTGTGTGGGTCACGTACGAGGTATAGATGCTGCCATGAGATAGATTCAGGTGAAGGGTGTACTGTCAGGTAAAGGAATCATAGACCCAGGCACGAGTTATTGTTATTATTATTAGAATTACAGACCCAGCCACGAGTTATTGTTATTCTTATTAAAATTACAGACCCAGCCACGAGTTATTGTTA